AAAATGAATAAGTAAACAAAATAAATAATACGAATGGATGTTCACACTTTTTCTTCTATTATCATTGAAATGAATTTTTTAGAAATGAAAGTAAAGTAAATATCGATTGAAAATATTTTATTTTCCATTACAATGTAAAGATTATAAGTGAAAATAAAAGATTATATTCTAGATACATTACTAAATAAGTATTACTTACACGTACGAATTAGTCCTACGTAGATGTTTCAAGTAATATTAATGAGTTATAAGTTATAACATTACGAGAAATACGTAATAGATAAATTAGATATGAAACGCAAAAATTCAAAGAAGTTGGATGAAATATAAGTATTACTCGAAATATAAGTATTACTTACGTACGAAATAGTCCTACGTAGATGTTTCAAGTAATATTAATGAGTTATAAGTTATAAGCTATAACGTTACGAGAAATACGTAATAGATAAATTAGATATGAAACGCAAAAATTCAAAGAAGTTGGATGAAATATAAGTATTACTCGAAATATAAGTATTACTTACGTACGAAATAGTCCTACGTAGATGTTTCAAGTAATATTAATGAGTTATAAGTTATAAGCTATAACGTTACGAGAAATACGTAATAGATAAATTAGATATGAAACGCAAAAATTCAAAGAAGTTGGATGAAATATAAGTATTACTCGAAATATAAGTATTACTTACGTACGAAATAGTCCTACGTAGATGTTTCAAGTAATATTAATGAGTTATAAGTTATAAGCTATAACGTTACGAGAAATACGTAATAAATAAATTAGATATGAAACGTAAAAATTCAAAGAAGTTGGATGAAATATAAGTATTACTTACGTACGAAATAGTCCTACGTAGATGTTTGAATGAGTTATAGCGTTACGAGAAATACGTAATAGATAAATTAAAGGCGAAATGTAAAAAATTCGAAGAAATTTGACGAAAGATAGGTATTACTTACGTACGAAATAATCCCACGTTTATGTTCCAAGTAATATTAGTGAATTATAAATTATAACGTTACGTCAAATACGTAATATTTGCGTAACATTTTTTGAAGTGGATATGAATTTAATTAAATGTTAATATAAAATTAAATACGAAATTGTAAAAATTCGAAGAACATTGAACCAAACAAGAAGTGGAATTTCTTTTTGTTGTAAAATGGTAAAATTTTAACGATGGTCATTTGAACCTGTTTCTCTTCTCAATTGAAATTGTCGGCAAACTTTATGTAATCGATAGAATTGAAAACAGGAATTTAAGAATGTCATTATTGTTTATTAATTACTAATGGTCATTGATTAGATGACCATTTGATAAAATTTTACCTTTCTATCAATTTTTTCATTTTAATTTAATTAATTTTGTAAAATAATTCTATTAATTACTTCGTTTCTTTTTGTTTTTGTTTTTTTTTCACTGTTAAAAAAATAGTTTCTTATTAGAGAGTAAACAAACAAACATTAGAGAGTGGACAGTAAACAGTAAACAATAAACAAAAAAAGTTATTTAAATGTAATCAAATAGAAATGAAACTATAAAGGAAGCCAAAATTGTAAATTCATAAAATAATATTTTATTATTTTCAAAAAAAAAAAAAATAAATTTTGTAGAAACAGAGAGATATATTAGAAATGAAATTAATATTTCAATATTAAAATGAATTTATAATTTCTATAAAATATAAAAATTATTTTTTGAACCATTGATTAGTCTTTCATTTGCTTTAATAAAATAACATTTTATAGAATTGAAAAGTTTTTGCACTTATTAAAACCATTTTAAATCCATTTTAATCCAAATCTATTTTAAATTAATACATTTTTTCGTGAAATGATAAGTTCATTACAGTCGTTAAATTTAATTTTTTATAAAATTAATTCTCTTAAGAAAAAAAAGAAACAATTAGAAATATTAAATTCAATATAAAATAAATTATACTAATAATTTCAAATGTATTTGGATAAACGTAAACGATCTCAAATATTTATTTGTCAAATGTTTGTTATTTTTTTGACAATTTAATTATATCTTCCTGAGTTTAAAAAACAGAGAAACGAGATAAAAGAACGAGTAGCCTTGACGCTCCCATTAATTTGACGTACCTAATTTGACGTATTTAATCTGACGTTTCATTTTGTTAATTCGACGTGTTTATTTTGTTAATCTGACGTGTCTATCTTGTTAATCTGACGTATTTATTTTGTTAATTCGACGTGTTTATTTTGTTAATCTGACGTATTTATTTTGTTAATTCGACGTGTTTATTTTGTTAATCTGACGTGTCCATCTTGTTAATCCGACGTATTTATTTTGTTAATTCGACGTGTTTATTTTGTTAATCTGACGTGTCTATCTTGTTAATCTGACGTATCTATTTTGTTAATTCGACGTGTTTATTTTGTTAATCTGACGTATTTATTTTGTTAATTCGACATGTTTATTTTGTTAATCTGACGTGTCTATCTTGTTAATCTGACGTATCTATTTTGTTAATTCGACGTGTTTATTTTGTTAATCTGACGTATTTATTTTGTTAATTCGACGTGTTTATTTTGTTAATCTGACGTATCCATCTTGTTAATTTGACGTTTTATTTTGTCAGTCTGACGTGTCTATTTTATTAAATAGATGCAAATTTATTGAATTTACCATTCCTTCTCATTGATGCAAAACTAGAAAGTGCAAATAATTAAATAATTTCTTCTTTTTTTTTTTTTTTTTGTCAATAACTTCCATTTCTTTAAATTTCAATCATTTCCATCTTTCTTTCTTCTAATTAAACACAACTAAAACGCCTAATAAATGCAAGAAGAAAAAAAATTGTGTCAAATAATATTAACGTAAGTGAAATCTGTAAATATATACGTATATCCAGCATGTCACGTACGAGTACGAAAACGTCATAAAATTTGTTTGAATACTTTATTGAATTTAAATTCTTCATAAAAAATCAAATTTCAATTATATTTGGAAATTGTGAACAATAAAAATTGAATGAATAAATATTGCTGAATTATAAAAAGATGATGAATCATTCAATAAATGTAACGTTTGTCAAATAATATTAACGTAAGTGAAATCTATAAATATATACGTATATCCAGCATGTCACGTACGAGTACGAAAACGTTATAAAATTTGTTTGTATACTTTATTGAATTTAAATTCATTGTAAAAAATCAAATTTCAATTATATTTGGAAATTGTAAACAATAAAAATTGAATGAATAAATATTGCTGAATTATAAAAAGATGATGAATCATTCAATAAATGCAGAACAAATTTTCATAAACAGAAAAAAAAAAAGAGAAAAAAATTAATAAATTAAATACAATGAAACATTTGTTTACATATATTTATATGTGTGTGTGATTGCAAACAAACTGATCAAATTACATCACTTAAATTCACAAATACATTATATTGTTGAAATTTGAATTGCATAACTTGAAATATTGGAAATTGAATTGGCAGAAGTCGATCGATTTTCAAAAGAATTCAAAAGATCAAAAATTTTTATTTTCAAATAAATTTGCACACTCGTCTACCTCTCACTGTATGTCGTCATCTATCCATTACTTCTGCTCTATAACAGTACTATTTCCCATAATTCCTATCGATCTCTCTATTATCCTCTCTTTCTACACTATCTTTTTTCTCTCTTTTCTTTCGGATACTCATCAATTGCTATGCACTATTTCCATACTCTTTTCCGTCTATTTACATATATATTCCTACTATATCATTGTCCTCTCCACACTATCTTTTTTCTCTCTTTTCTTTCGAATACTCATCAATTGTTATGCACTATTTCCATACTCTTTTCCGTCTATTTACATATATGTTCTTACTATATCCCTAGTATCCTCTCTACACTATCTTTTTTCCTTCTTTTCTTTCGGATACTCATCAATTGCTATTTCTACAATCCTTTCACATCTACTTACACTTATCTAAATATTCCTATTATCCTCTCTTTCTGCACTATTTTTTTTTCCTTCTTTTCTTTCGGATACTCATCAATTGCTATTTCTACAATCCTTTCACATCTACTCACACGTATCTAAATATTCCTATTATCCTCTCTGCACTATCTTTTTCCTTCTTTTCTTTCGAATACTCATCAATTGCAATGCACTATTTCCATACTCTTTTCCGTCTATTTACATATATATTCCTATTATATCCTTATTATCCTCTCTACACTATCTTTTTTCTCTCTTTTCTTTCGATTACTCATCAATTGCTATTTCTACAATCCTTTCACAGCTACTTACACGTATCTAAATATTCCTATTATCCTCTCTTTCTGCACTATTTTTTTTCCTTCTTTTCTTTCGAATACTCATCAATTGCTATGCACTATTTCCTTACTCTTTTCCATCTATTCACATACACATTCTTATTATATCCCTATTATCCTCTCCACACTATCTTTTTTCTCTCTTTTCTTTCGGATACTCATCAACTGCTACGCACTATTTCTACAATCCTTTCACATCTACTACACGTGTCTAAATATTCTCTCATTCTCTACTTCTACTTAAAATCACACTGAATACTCTTTCGTCTCTTACTCTCTTATCTGAACAGGTTCAAGCCCAACTTGCTAAAAATGGCAAAAAATATTTGAAAATTGGAATTTTGTTATCATTTTGGTTGGTCCTTGTTGAGTCCCCTTTTATTCTCTCCCCTCACCTCTTTTTCACGTTGTCTTCTACTTTTCTTAAGTAATACTACCAAATCCTACGTGTATTTTTTTTTTCACAAAATATTATATTGTTGAAATTTGAAATGCAAAACATGCTTCTTTCTTTAAGGAATACTAAATGTATTTTTTTTAAAATGATATTTTCTCCAAGCAGTACTAAATTCCACGTTTCTTTTGACGTTGAATGAATTTTTACGTGCGTGTCTTTTTATTTAACAGCGATTCTGTTAATTATATGAATGACTTATTATCTATATGAGTGCACTTTGATATTTTTAGGAGAATGCGATATATTACTAATCGATCTGGCACTGTATCATTGTTAACTGCTTCTTTCTTTGCTGGTTGTTTAGCTGACAAATATATACTGAAACGAGCTAATGCTGCCACTGCTCAGGTACATTTATATTTTGGATTTTTAAGTTTAGTTAAAATGTAACTGTTTGTAAAGAAATTTGGATTGGATTGTTTGATTTTTAATTTCTTTCAAGTTCTTAATTCAACTTTTCATTCGTGTAATTTACTGTAATTTGAATCGTTTGAAATACCATAGGCGTTGGAAATTGGTAATATTTTGAAAGATAACAATGTCACTGATAAATCAGTAAAATAATGTACCCTTGTTTTCTACTTGTTTTGCTAGGTTTGTTTAAAATGTTAATTGAAGCTAACGTTACTAGTGATTTCTTCATTTTTTTATCTAGTATTTTCCAGCATTAAAATAGCTTTTTTAGTTGCCGGCAACTGCAGTGCAGCCTCACATTTTAACCGGACCCACCTCAACCTTGGATATTGATCATGTAAAAGAGCAACCATCTCGTGCATCCCAAATAATGCGATATGGATATCCCGGTTTTGATAACTTACGTACTTTCGAAGATTATGTTTTATCGTACGACCGTCGAAATAGGTTATTTACATTTGATCTACCAGTCCGTGTTTCAAAGTCACTTCAATCACTTTAACGCTTCTGAATAAACATTTAGATATCGATTTAATTCAGTAATACAGTAAATAGGTCTAAAATCCATCTATTGTATTAATTACAGCTACTGTTTAATGTTAGACGTGTTGAATATTGTAGGCATCATTTCGAATATTATTCATATTTTTGGAATTTTTATTTAATTTTTCCTTCATTAATATATATATATTGTCTAATTTTTGTAGAATTGCTCATTGGGTTGTTGAACATCTAAGTTCAGATAGGCTAGTGTATAATTCATCTGTCGACCGTTCGAAATGTCAATTTCGCGAGGACCCATCCATTCATCCTTATTTCAAATCAACAAATGATGACTATAAGGCATATTTTTGCATTCCAGGCTAGCTTCTTAACTACTTCATTCATTATAGAAAAGTCAAGAGGATAAGCAACTGATCAATTTAAGTGAAATGAGTATCTTTCTATTTTCATGAAAACGAAAATGTTTTCTTTTTGTTTTTGTTTTTTTTTTTTTCTTCTCAGTCACGAATTTTATAAGATTTGGTAATTGCAGGGTAGTGGATATGATCGTGGTCATTTAGCTGCAGCTGGTAATCATCGGCGATCACAAACTGCAATCGATCAAACTTTCTTGTTGAGTAATATGGCACCTCAAGTTGGAAAAGGATTTAATAGGGACAAATGGAATGAATTGGAGAAACATGTCAGGTATTGCAGTTTAACCAGTTATTTTGTCTATCTATATTTATTAAAAGAAAATCCACTTTATGCTCATTTCACATATCAAAGTGTCTTCATGTTCAGTAAAGTATAGCGATTATTAACTCGTCAATTTTAATAATGTCATTCTTCTTGTTAATGCTCTTTTATATTTCATAATTCGAAAATGTTAAATTTAAAGATTTCAAATTTTAGGAAGCTTGCAAGGAAGAACAAAAATGTATACGTTTGTACGGGTCCATTATTTTTGCCGAAATTAGAACAAGATGGCTCTTTGTACATCAAGTATAAAATTGTTGGTCGAAATAATATTGCTGTACCGACACATTTCTTTAAAGTATTGTAATTTAAAGCTCGTTATTTTGCTAAAAATTGTTATCTAAACATTTGTTATAATTAAATTAAACATGCTTTAGGTTGTACTCGTGGAACTTATGAATGGCAAATTCGAACTAGAAGCATATATTTTGCCAAATTCAGTAAGTTATTTGCGAATAAGTTGTCTAATTGATGAACTTTTGTTGAATTAAGGATCATTTTTATAAGCCAACTTTTATACGATAGAATTTTGATTATTTCAGGTAATACCTGATGATATACCTTTGACTTCTTTTATGGTACCGTTGGATAGTATTGAGCGTTCTGCTGGATTTCTAATTTTTGATAAATTACCAAAGAATGCTTTAAATAAGGTTAATGGAAAATCAGGCAAAATGTTATGGTGAAAATTGTTACTGTATTATAATTGTATGATCATGTTTTTTAATTAGTTGGTGATTATTTGATACGAACTTACTGGTATGTCGAAGTGCTAAATGTTAGACTTATTTATTGTTGTTTATCAAGTAGGAACAAGTAGGACAACAGTTGTTGTATGTAGCTTATGTGATGATAATAAAGAATAAATTGATTTTGGGTCTGTAGGCATGAAAGACCAAAGTAATTTCTGAAATATTAATAAAGTAATTTTTTTTTTTCTGAAATATTAATTAATACTTCGAATTTTCTCAAGTGATTCATGGTTGTAATATTTTCAACTGCTTCGAATAATTTTCATTTAACTAAAATTTTCATAATTTTTTGATGGATTTTCTTTTTTATCATTCTTAATAGCCTTCTAAGCTTTCATAACTTAGATCATAATGATATATTTACAATAAAACATCAAACACTTTTTAATTTTGCTATTACTGGAGCTGATATGTTATCGAATAAACAAAAATTAACTTATCAACAGATAACGGCATAATTTTTTTTTTTAAAACAACTTTGCAACTTGATTAATGACTTTATTATTAATTATATCACTTTATACACTAAATAAATATTTCCTCATAAATACATTTTACTCTTTACTAGGTAACCGAATTAAAGAAATATTGATTGATTATTGAGATCAAAATTTGTTGGTCAACTGAAGCATAATTTGTTCTCGCTGTTCAGATTTTATGCTAAATTATTATAAATGCATGGAAGAGCAAATCAGGTTCGTACAATTTCATGTATTCATTATCCATTTCAAATTGAAATAATATTTCGTTTTAAAAAAAAATTTTTTTTTTTAATTTCAATGTATGTTTTAATTAATTTATAATTTTCAAAATATTTTGATATACTTTATTATTGAACAAATGGAATATAGTAATATCACAAATAATATTCATTTTTATTTTTATTTATATTTACCAAAGAAAACACCAAGCTAAGGTAACATTAAGTATACCAACAATAAGTGATAAAAAAGAAAAAACAAAAGCAATACATGATAAATAATAGCTATAGCCAAGGCCAATAATAATCATTGATGGATGTAAGCCACTGTGACCTTCAGTTTGTGAGAAAGTCTCAAGTAAAACTAAATCAAAATTTTTTTAATGAAAAAAAAATTTATCAACTTCAAAAACTTTTAAATATGCTTAAATTTTAATCAATTCATATGATTGATTGATTGATTGATTGATTGATTGGTTGATGTGTATTTAGTTATCAAATTAAACTTCCCCAATTAATTTTTTTAAATTTAAATATGCTTAAATGAAATTATTAAATATGCTTAAATGAAATTTTAAATATGATTGATCGATTGATTGATTGGTTGATGTGTATTTAGTTATCAGATTAAACTTTCCCAATTAATTTTTTTTAAATTTAAATATGCTTAAATGAAATTATTAAATATGCTTAAATTTTAATCAATTCATATGATTGATTGATCGATTGATTGATTGATTGGTTGATGTGTATTTAGTTATCAGATTAAACTTTCCCAATTAATTTTTTTTAAATTTAAATATGCTTAAATGAAATTATTAAATATGCTTAAATTTTAATCAATTCATATGATTGATTGGTTGATTGATGTGTATTAATTTTTTTTAAATTTTTAAAAAAATTTTTTTTATATTTTATTTTGTTTTTTTAAAATTTTTTTTTTCAATTAATTTTTTTAAATTTAAATATGCTTAAATTTGTGTGGTGTGTTTGTTTGTTTTAAAGATAAATGAAAATTACTTGAAATTTCAGCATAACGTTCTGCATAAGTAATAACACCATAAAATAATAATATAAATATAGTTGAAGCAAAAATACTAAATGGTGCTGCCATATGTTCATAATGTTCACAGCAAAATTCTCGTGGTAAAAATAAATATAAAATAGCAATTAATTCGATAATCAATGATGATATTAATGTATAAACTACTGTTACATCCCATGCTGCACGATTCTAAAGTTTATTTTAAACAAAAACTCTAAATTCTAAAGTTTATTTTAAACAAAAACTCTAAATTCTAAAGTTTATTTTAAACAAAAAAAAACAATTGAAGTAATTAAATAAAATTATTTGCAAATTTTAAAAGATTGAACATTTATCAACGATGCAAATATATATATGTATCAGTTTAAAATAATTTAATTTTATAGCATTTTAAAAATTTTCCCAGAACTTTTTTAAACAATTTAATTTTGCAACATTTTAAAAACTTTTCCTATAAAACTTTTTAACAATATCTTGAAAAAATTAAAAAAAAAAAAAGTACGAATTAAATATATTTATTTATTAATTTAAGAAAATAGATATAATTAATATTAAATAGTTCAATTAATAATTTTATTAATTAATTTATACAAAAAGTAATTAAACTAACATCAAAAATGTAATTGCAAAAATCATTATCTGGCCTCTTCTCTTTGCCAATTTTGCCATCATCTTTTTGTAAATTTCCAAAGCATTGATAACGAAATAGGCCAATAGAAGCTGGTATAGCTGGGCCTTTATTTAATGCTTCAGGCCTTTTTTCAAATGTTCGCCAAGCTGTGAAATATTTTGCTAACTTTTTGTTTTTTTTTTTTTTGATTAGATTTAATAAAAAAAATTTGTTTTGTATTATTTTTATTTAAATACTAATTAGTTTAAATTTTAGTTTTAAATTTTAATAAAATTTAAATTTTACCAGGAGTAAGTAAAGAAATGAGAGTAAAAATCATTGTCAACGAGATACAAATACCAAATGCAATACGACCAACACTTGATTCCTTCATCATATCGAAATTATTTACTTACTTACTTACTTACTTACTTTTAGCATATAACTTTTTTATCACAGTTATAAAATGATATAAAGTAATTGAATTTTATTCTTTTATATCTTTTCATTTTCCTCTCTCTCTCTCTCTCTCTCTCTCTCTTTCTCCCTCTCTCTGTCTCTCAATTTTTGAAATAACTAATAGCAATTATAATAGCATTTAATTTTAATTTAAATAATAAAATTTGCATTAAAAATATTTGATGTAAGTTATTTGCTGAAAGTAAGTAAGTAAGAAGTAATTTTTTTTTTTTAAACTGCGACTTATCATTCAATGATAAAATTACATTTTTGCTTAATTATCATTAAAGTATTACTAATGAATTTATCTTGCTTAAACAACGATATGAAAAAAAAAAATGAGATCTAAAAATTTTCCAATATAACAGATATAATTTGAATTTGGATTTGACATCGGAAGAAATGTTTTTTGATTGATAAGAGAATGATAAGAGGATGATAAGAGATGATCATCAATGAGATATTACTAGATTTATTACCATAATTATTGTTTTTGACTATATTTGCTCTCCACAAAAATTAGTGAGAATTTTTCAAATTAGATCAAGTGATGTTTTTGATTGATAAGAGAATGATAAGAAGATGATAAGAGATGATAAAAGGTGATCATTAATGAGATATCCACTGAATTTATTGCATTTGACTATATTTGCTCGCCACAAAAATTAGTGAGAATTTTTCAAATTAGATCAAGTGATGTTTTTGATTGATAAGAGCATGATAAGAGGATGATAAGAGATGATAAAAGGTGATCATTAATGAGATATCCACTGAATTTATTGCTTTTGACTATATTTGCCAAAAATTAGTGAGAATTTTTCAAATTAGATCAAGTGATGTTTTTGATTGATAAGAGACTGATAAGAAGATGATAAGAGATGATAAAAGGTGATCATTAATGAGATATCCACTGAATTTATTGCATTTGACTATATTTGCTCGCCACAAAAATTAGTGAGAATTTTTCAAATTAGATCAAGTGATGTTTTTGATTGATAAGAGAATGATAAGAGGATGATAAGAGATGATAAAAGGTGATCATTAATGAGATATCCACTGAATTTATTGCTTTTGACTATATTTGCTCCCACAAAAATTATTGAGAATTTTTCAAATTAGATCAAGTGATGTTTTTGATTGATAAGAGAATGATAAGAGGATGATAAGAGATGATAAAAGGTGATCATTAATGAGATATCCACTGAATTTATTGCTTTTGACTATATTTGCTCCCACAAAAATTATTGAGAATTTTTCAAATTAGATCAAGTGATGTTTTTGATTGATAAGAGAATGATAAGAGGATGATAAGAGATGATAAAAGGTGATCATTAATCAGATATTACTGAATTTATTGCTTTTAACTAGTGTTTTTGATTGATAAGAGAATGATAAGAGGATGATAAGAGATGACAAAAGATGATCACTAATCAGATATTACTGAATTTATTGCTTTTAACTATATTTGCCAAAAATTAGTAAGAATTTTTCAAATTAGATCAAGTGATGTTTTTGATTGATAAGAGAATGATAAGAGGATGATAAGAGATGATAAAAGGTGATCATTAATGACATATTACTGAATTTATTGCTTTTAACTATATTTGCCAAAAATTAGTAAGAATTTTTCAAATTAGATTATAAATAATATTATTTCTACAAATATAAATCAATAATTGACAGCAATTAAAGGTCAAAAAAATAATGCAAAATAAAATAAATCAAAAATGAATTTATGAATATTAAATGAAAAATGTTTAAAAGTTTTTAATACTTTTTATTTTAAACATAGTTATCAAAAATTTAAATATAATTTCAATTTATTTTAACTCATTTTTTAATCTTTGTATGATTGCTAAATTATTTTAAATTTCAAAAATTATATAAATTTAATAATCAGTTGAATAATTTTCATTCTTATTTTGTCTGTAATCTAAAAAGATTAGTTTAGAAGGAAAGAAGTATAAACTTAATATTTTTTGCATTTATCCTAGTTTTTATTACATTTCAATGATGTGAAAAGAATTTTGGAAATTTTGAAAAGATTTTTTTTTTACATCATTATTATTATTATTATTATTATCATTGTTATTATTGTTATTATTATATTATTATTATTATTGTTGTTATCATTGTTATTATTATTATTATTATTATTATTATTATTATTATTATTATTATTGTTATTATTATTATTATTATCATTATTATCATTATTGTTATTATCATTGTTATTATTATTATTAACTTCCATCGATATTATTAGCTTCTACTTCTAGTGAATATTAATCGTTATTATTGTTGTTGTTATTATTATTATTGTTATTAACCTTTATTATTATTATTAACTATTATTACTATTATTATTATTATTATTGTTATTGTCATAAACCGTTATTATTATTATTGTTGTCATTAGCCGTTATTATTATTATTATTATTATTATTATTATTATTATTATTATTATTATTATTATTATTATTGTTATTGTCATAAACCGTTATTATTATTATTGTTGTCATTAGCCGTTATTATTATTATTATTATTATTATTGTTATTGTCATAAACCGTTATTATTATTATTGTTGTCATTAGCCGTTATTATTATTATTATTATTATTGTTATTGTCATAAACCGTTATTATTATTATTGTTGTCATTAGCCGTTATTATTATTATTATTGTTATTGTCATAAACCGTTATTATTATTATTGTTGTCATTAGCCGTTATTATTATTATTATTATTGTTATTGTTATTGCCATAAACCGTTATTATTATTATTATTATTATTATTGTTGTTGATGAGAGCAGTAATGAATTCTTTTTATTTGACCGACAATTTTTTTTGTTTTTTTTTTATATTATCTGATATATTTACTTCAAGGATAACTTTTTGTATGCTAAAAAAAGTTGATAACATAATATATGCTTTGATCAGATGATAAATTTTATTTACTCTCAGATAAATTTTAAAATTTCGAGCTATTTCTTTTTTCTGACTATGGTATTTTTCTTGAATTAACTGCACTGATAGTTTCCTGTAAAAATTATAAAATTTAATTTTTTTTTTTTTTTTTAAATTTGAATGTAATAAATTAAATTATTTCTTGCCTGAAATTTCAAAATTTTAGAACTATTACAGAATTGAGCAAAAAAAATATATAGTTAATTAAAATGCTCATTAGAACATTTTAATTAAACCTATCAGACAGGATTAGATAATTTATTCTGGCGGCAAGATTAAAAGCACTTACAGTTTTCGGAATTGCAAGATATTCTGTAATTTGACCGGAAATGTATTTTTATAACATTCATTAGTAAAACTTTTTATATGAAAAAAAATTTTTTTTAAAAAAAAAAAATGTTTAATAATTTAATTAATCTACAAGAAATTATATATCATATTGATAAATAAATTATTTAAATTTCTTTATTTTGACATTTCATTGATTGCTTCTCTAATTCTGTTTTCAAAATTATTTCTACCATATGAATGTTTAATTAATTATGCTAATTAAACTAATTGCTAATTATGCTTGTTTGCATATCTGAAATGTGCTTTAAAAAAAAAAATATTTACTAATTTAATTAATCTACAAGAAATTATTTATCATATTGATAAATAAATTATTTAAATTTCTTTATTTTGACATTTCATTGATTGCTTCTCTAATTCTATTTTCAAAATTATTTCTACCATATGAATGTTTAATTAATTATGCTAATTAAGCTAAATGCTAATTATGCTTGTTTGCATATCTGAAATGTGCTTTAAAAAAAAAAATATTTAGTAATTTAATTAATCTACAAGAAATTATTTATCATATTGATAAATAAATTATTTAAATTTCTTTATTTTGACATTTCATTGATTGCTTCTCTAATTCTGTTTTCAAAATTATTTCTACCATATGAATGTTTAATTAATTATGCTAATTAAGCTAATTGCTAATTATGCTTGTTTGCATATCTGAAATGTGCTTTAAAAAAAAAATATTTAGTAATTTAATTAATCTACAAGAAATTATTTATCATATTGATAAATAAATTATTTAAATTTCTTCAAAATTATTTCTATCATATGAATGTTTAATTAATTATGCTAATTAAGCTAAATGCTAATTATGCTTGTTTGCATATCTGAAATGTGCTTACCTTCCTGTTCTTTAGCTTCCATTTCCATTTTACCTTTTTTCATTTGTTGTTTTCGATTTGAAATGAAAAGAAGAATTCGAAAAATGATGACAGATGTCACCAGGACACCAATTATAATAATACAAGCAGTTATGGGGACAATAAGAAATTCGTCAACTTGTTGAGTGTCATCTTCATCATATAATTTTACAACAATTTCACCCAATCTTTAAAAAAAAAACAATTTGTAATGTAAAATTTGAATTTTAAATTTTTGTAGAAAAAAATAGTAAAATTTAAATTTTGTTATAAAACATTTTTTTTTTTTTGAAAAAACAAAAAAAAATACTAAAAGAGAAATCTTCATCATATAATTTTACAACAGTTTCATCCAATCTTTAAAAAAAAAAACAATTTGTAATGTAAAATTTGAATTTTAAATTTTTGTAGAAAAAAATAATAAAATTTAAATTTTATTATAAAACATTTTTTTTTTTTTTTTGACAAGACAAAAAAAATACTAAAAGAGAATATTGGATTATTGCATTTTGAATATTTTTTCAACAGTAATAAATTTTTTTCAAAATTCATTAAATTGTAATTTATTAAAAAAAAAACTTTCAATTTAAATTTTATAAAATTGTTATATTCAAATAAATTTTTTTTTTCATCAACAAATTTTATTTTTTTTAATAAATCACAGTAATGTAAAATTATTTGCATTAATTAATTATTTGTTTGAAATTTAATTAACGAATAAAAAAAACAATAATGTTTTAAACTAACTTATCATTTGTTTTCATTGCTTTGATTTAATTTTTGAATGAGAATTACTTTTGTTCTGCAAAAATCAAGAACTTAATATATTTTTATAAAATTATCCAATCCAAAATTTTAATTTTAATTTTGAAAAATTAATTTGTAATATTTTATATTTCAAAATAAAATACTATTCAGACATTTTTAATTGCTTAATAGTACTTCAAAAAAAATGTTAAATGTTTTTTTTAATGCAATTATTCCAATTTGATAGATTCTTTTATCCTTTTTGTTTTTTTTTTTAAATTTTTAAATTAAATTTAGTTAATTGATTAATACATGAAATGTGAATGATAAAAGACAACCATACAAAGTGATAAGAATTTTTTTGAAATAAATAGTTAATATTTTAGGCAAATTTTTTTAATCAAAAAAAAATGAAAAAATTTTGCATGATTTGGAGAAGAAAATTTTTTTTGTTGTTGTTTTATTTATCATATGTTGTTGTTGTTGTTGTTTATTTTTCATATGTTGTTGTTGTTTATTTATCATATGTTCTTTTTGTTGTTGTTGTTGTTTATTTATCATATGTTCTTTTTGTTGTTGTTGTCTATTTGTCATATGTTCTTTTTGTTGTCGTTGTTTATTTATCATATGTTCTTTTTGTTGTTGTTGTTTATTTATCATATGTTCTTTTTGTTGTTGTTTATTTATCATATGTTGTTTTTGTTTTATTTATTTTATCATCCTTAAAAATCACAGTTCATTTCATTTTAATTGAGTATTGCTTATCTTTTTTAAATTTTCTACTTGATCAATTTCTTTCTCCTCGTTGCATTCAGTATTGACTTAAAAAAAAAAAGCTTTACTTTATTCCTATCAAATTATTTGTTGTCTGATAAAGTGATAACGGCCAAGTTAACTAAATTGTTTGTTGTTGATAAAGTGATAGCGGCTAAGTTCATCAAATTGTTTATTGTCTGATAAAGTGATAACATTCAAGTTAATTTATCACTTTTAATCATGTTAACATATCACTTTTAATCATTTATATTTACAAAATTCATCAACTAATCATCTTTTTCGTCCGATAAAGTGATAACAGCTAAATTAACCAAACTTTTTATTGTCTGATAAAGTGATAAGAGCTAAGTTAACATATCACTTTCAATCATTTGTGTTTATAAAATTCGTCAACTACTCATCTTTTTTGTCTGATAAAGTGATAACGGCTAAGTTACCTAACCTGCCTGTTGCCTAATAAAGTGATAACAGCTAAGTTAACCAAATTGTTTGTCGCCTGATGAAGTGATAACATCTAAGTTAACTAAATTATTTGTCGCCTAATAAAGTGATAACACCTAGCCAACCAAATTTTGTCTGATAAAGTGATAAGAGCTAAGTTAACATATCACTTTTAATCATTTATATTTATTAAAATTCATCAACTACTCATCTTTTTCGTCCGATAAAGTGATAACAACTAACTTAACCAAATTGTTTATTGTCTGATAAAGTAATAAGAACTAAGTTAACATATCACTTTTAATCATTTATATTTATTAAAATTCATCAACTACTCATCTTTTTCGTCCGATAAAGTGATAACGGCTAAATTAACCAAACTTTTTATTGTCTGATAAAGTGATAAGAGCTAAGTTAACATATCACTTTTAATCATTTATATTTATTAAAATTCATCAACTATCCATCTTTTTTTGTGTGATAAATACTCGAACATTATTTTAGTCACAAATAATTGTTGTTCCATTTTCTATTATTTTAAAAATTTTTCAATTTTTACAATCAAATTTTAATCAAAGAGCAGAAATTATCTTTTGCAAGAAATACCTCACAGGTACGAATATTAAAATTAATATAATTGTATAAGAAAGTATGATGTTGTCAAATATTGTCAAATGTATGGTTACTTCTAGAAAATGTCACCAAATTACTCATCAAAATGTCACCAAATTACTCATCAAGATGTCACCAAATTGCTAATTATGAATTAAGTAATATCTATGAATTAAGTAATACCAAATTGCTAATTATGAATTAAGTAATATCTATGAATTAAGTAATACCAAATTGCTAATTATGAATTAAGTAATATCTATGAATTAAGTAATACCAAATTGCTAATTATGAATTAAGTAATATCTATGAATTAAGTAATACCAAATTGCTAATTATGAATTAAGTAATATCTATGAATTAAGTAATACCAAATTGCTAATTATGAATTAAGTAATATCTATGAATTAAGTAATACCAAATTGCTAATTATGAATTAAGTAATATCTATGAATTAAGTAATACCAAATTGCTAATTATGAATTAAGTAATATCTATGAATTAAGTAATACCAAATTGCTAATTATGAATTAAGTAATCATTAAGTAATATCTCTTTTTTTTTTATACTGATAATAATCCTAGGATTAAAATTTCTTACTTTCAATGATAACAAATTAATTACTTTAATTTCAACAGAATATTTTAGTATTTCAAATTTTGTTAAATATTTTTTTTTTTTTTTTAGTGATAAGAAATTGCATAGAATTTTTTTATTTTTATTCATTTGTTTGATTCAAAAAATTCAAAAATTGTTTATCAGCAATTCAACACAAATATATAAAAAATGTATGTAAATAATATTTTGCATTTTTATAATTTTTCATAAAAATAAAATTTTTTTTTTTTTCAAATTTGACAATAAAAAATTTTAAAATCATTGAATTGAAAAAAGTAATTGTAATAAGCAATAAAAAATAGCAAAAATAAATTAAAATTGCAAAAAATAAGAGAGAGAGAGGGATAGAGAGTGAAAGAGGGAGGGACAGAGAAAGAGAGAGAGAGAGAGAGAATTATGATAATTAGAAATTTGCAATTAGACGTGAAATTTGTGGCCATTTCCAGTATAAAGCAGTGCCGAAATTAAGAATCCAATGTATGAATAAGGCCACGCAACCAAAATAAAAGCCACTTCCGACACTTACGTCAACGTTACGTGTACACCTGGTTGATATTTGATCATTTGCTAATTGTTTCACGACGTGATTTATTTTATCTGCAAAAAAGTGTTGATTAAATGTTTGTTTGTTTGTTTGTTTGTTTGTTTTCTAAACAAATAAAAATTTCATTCTTTTAAAATTAATTAATAAAATTTTACAAAAAAAAAAAAAAATTCTAATATATGTTAGAACAAAAAAAATAATTTTAAGAAAACATTCATTCCTTTGAATTTTAATTATAAACAATATTTTTCAATTTTTTATTATTAAATTTTCAAAAAAGAAGGAAAACATTTAGATTAATTTTAATTTTATCACATTAACCGAAATAATATTTTTTTTTTAAAATAAATTTTTAAATTTTAATTATAAACAATATTTTCAAATTTTTATTATCAAATTTCAATAAAAAGAAAATATTTAAAATAAAAGGAAAAAATTTAGATTAATTTTAATTTTGCCATTTTAACCGAAATAATATTTTTTCAAACTAAAATTTTTAATTTAAACTATTTTTCAAACTTTAAACTAAATTTTTTTTTAAATTTAAACCTTTTGAATTTTAATTACAAATAACATTTTCAAATTTTTATTATTAAATTTCAATAAAAAGAAAATATTTGAAATAAAAGGAAAAAATTTAGATTAATTTTAATTTTATCATATTAACTGAAATAATTTTTTTTTTCCAAACTAAATTTTTGAATTTTAATTACAAACAACATTTTTAAATTTTTATTATCAAATTACATTTTAAACTAAATTTTTGAATTTTAATTACAAACAATATTTTCAAATTTTTATTATTAAATTTTCAAAAAAAAAAAAAAAAAGGAAAACATTTAGATTAATTTTAATTTTACCATTTTAACTTGAAATAATATTTTTTCAAACTAAAATTTTTAATTTAAACTATTTTTTAAACTTTAAACTAAATTTTTTTAAATTTAAACTTTTTGAATTTTAATTACAAATAACATTTTCAAATTTTTATTATTAAATTTCAATGAAAAGAAAATATTTAAAATAAAAGGAAAAAATTTAGATTAATCTTAATTTTATCATATTAACCGAAATAATATTTTTTTTCCAAACTAAATTTTTGAATTTTAATTAGAAATAGTATTTTCAAATTTTTATTATCAAATTACATTTTAAACTAAATTTTTGAATTTTAATTACAAACAATATTTTCAAATTTTTATTATTAAATTCCAATAAAAAGAAAATATTTAAAATAAAAGGAAAAAATTTAGATTAATTTTAATTTTACCATTTTAACCGAAATAATATTTTTTTTTAAATAAATTTTTAAATTTTAACTATAAACAATATTTTCAAATTTCTATTATCAAATTTCATTTTAAACTAGATTTTTGAATTTTAATTATAAACAATATTTTCAATTTTTTATTACTAAATTTTCAAAAAAAAAAAAAAAAAAGGAAAACATTTAGATTAATTTTAATTTTTTTTTCAATTTAATTAATTAATTAATTAAATTTTCATACTAACCAAGAGCTTCCTTATTTTGATAAGCATATAAAGCAATAGCAGTGGTTAAAAAAAATGCTAAAATCAAATTTAATTGTAATAACGATGCGACAGGTGACATTTTGCACATAAGTTGAAGATCATAATCAATTAGTGCTATTATTAAAGCCACAAAATCAAGAAGGCTTATAAAAATAATTAAAACCATAACAATAGTATCCGATATTGGCTTTTCCTAAAAAAAAAAACAAACAAACAAACAAATAAACAATTATTTTAAAATGAAAAATTTTTCATTAATTAAAATTTAAACAAACAAATGTTTTTTCACACAAATTTAAAATAATTAAAATTTAGCAAAAAAAAATATTTATAAAAAAAAAAAAATTTTGATAATAAAATAAACACTTACCGAATACCATAAGGAACAAAATTGATTTGTATTATTCAATTGTTTAAATGATGAATTATAAATATTTTTTGAAATTGAATAATTTTCAATTAAATCCATTTCCATACTCCAATTTGAATTTATCATATCATTTTCATCTGATAATGTTATCTCATTTGAATCATTCTTATCATCATTATCATCACCATCATTATCATCATCATTATTATCATTTGAACAACGATTTCTTAAAATACCCATTCGTCGTGGTATCACTAATTTTGGTTCATTTAAAAATTTTGCGACATTTATGGTGACATTAGCCATTTCCATTGCTACACTCTCTTTTATCGTTTCATTATCATATGGATTTATCAAATAATAACTATCAGAAAATATCAAATCTCGCCAATCTAAAATTTTTAAAAAATTAAAAAAGTAATTTTTTGAAATTTCACCATGCTATATTATTGTAAATAGTACTTAACTTTATAGTTTTGAAGGTAAATTTTAAAAAACTTTACTAAATGTTTTACTAAAACTTTACTAAAATTAAAAAAGTAATTTTTTGAAATTTCACCATGCTATATTATTGTAAATAGTACCTAACTTTATTGTTTTGAAGGTAAATTTTAAAAAACTTTACTAAATGTTTTACTAAAACTTTACTAAAATTAAAAAAGTAATTTTTTGAAATTTCACCATGGTATATTATTGTAAATAGTACTTAACTTTATAGTTTTGAAGGTAAATTTTAAAAAACTTTACTAAATGTTTTACTAAAACTTTACTAAAATTAAAAAAGTAATTTTTTGAAATTTCACCATGCTATATTATTGTAAATAGTATCTAACTTTATAGTTTTGAAGATAAATTTTAAAAAACTTTACTAAATGTTTTACTAAAACTTTACTAAAATTAAAAAAGTAATTTTTTGAAATTTCACCATGGTATATTATTGTAAATAGTACTTAACTTTATAGTTTTGAAGGTAAATTTTAAAAAACTTTACTAAATGTAAATTATTTTAGAGTAATTTGTAATTTTATTTAACTATTTTACTATCAATAACTATCAAACGATGAGTGTTAATCTAAATAATTTAATAAACTTTTTTATTAATTTATTAAGGTGCAAAAACTTTGTATTAAATATCTCTCAGATTGTTTGTGATAAGGTAAAATTATGAATCTAATTTTTATTAATTTTGATAAAAAAGTAAACAAATAAACAAACAAACAAACAAACAAACAAGCAGGCAAACAAACAAACAAACAAACAAACAAGCAAACAAATAAACAGACAAACAAGCAGGCAAACAAACAGACAAACAAACAGACAAACGAGCAGGCAAACAAACAAACAAACAAACAATCAAACAAACAAGCAAACAAACAAACAAATAAACAAACTTGGACTAAATAAAACATAAATAATAACGATGATGATTAATAATAAAGTTGCTGTATATATAACCTAAATAATTTAATAAACTTTTTTATTAATTTATTAAATCACAAAAACTTTATATTAAATATTTCTCAGATTGTTTGTGACAAGGTAAAATTATAAATCCAATTTTTAATTTTGACAAAAAAAGTAAACAAATAAACAAACTTGGACTAAATAAAGCATAATTAATGACGATAATAATTAATAATAAAGTTGCAGTATATGCAATTCGAAATTGACGCATTCTACGATGATGAAAATCATCCATCATCTTACCTGAAAAAAAAATTATGCTATAAAAAGTTTTAAAATAATTTATCAAAATTATATTTTTAATTTAAATTTTTAACTAACAATTATTTATAGAAATTTTGGATGAGAAAATGACAAAATTGTATTAAAAAAAAATAATTTTTATAAAAAAAATAATTTAAATTATTGCAATAATTAATTGTTTACAGTAAAAAAGATGAAAAAAAGTTTTAAAATTTGATCAAAGATAAATGAATGATTTATTTGATATTTAAATTTATTATAGAATATCATATCATTAATGGAATAATTTATTTGACATTATTTTATTGTTGAACTATTAAAACTCATAAATTGTTAATAAATTTATTCACAATTAGCTTTGAATAGTTAAAAAATTAATTAATTTTAGGAATAACTAATGCCCAAAAATTCTAATAGGTAAAAAATTAATTAATTTTACGGATTATTGATACCCAAAAATTCTAATCGTTAGAAAATTAATTAATTTCGGGAATAACTATTACCCAAAAATTCTAACAGTTAAAAAATTAATTAATTTCACAAATAATTAATACCCAAAAATTCTAATCGTTAGAAAATTAATTAATTTCGGGAATAACTATTACCCAAAAATTCTAATTTTTATACGAAAACAATAAGATGGCTTAAAAAAAATAAAACCTATCGTTAAGTCATTAATGATTAAAATGATCAAATGATTTCGATCCATTATTTTTGACTCCAACAGATCAAAGTCTTTTTTTCTGGAACATACAGGAACGCTTAGTATTGTCGGGGATTTCCTCGGGTATTACTACTATCGAGAATTTTCTCGGGAATTACTGTTATCGAGAATTTTTTCGGGTATTACTATTAACGGGAATTTTCTCGGGGATTGCTATTATTAGGAATTTTTTCGGAGATTGCTATTATCAGGGATTTTCTCGGTTATTACTACTAACCGGAATTTTCTCGAGCATTACTATTATCGAGAATTTTCTCGGGCAATGCTATTATCAAGGATTTTTTCAAGAATTACTATTACCGGGATTTTCTCGGGGATTACTATTAGCCGAGGTTTTCGCGAGAATTGCTGTTAGCCGAGATTTTCACGAGGATTACTATTATCGGGAATCTTCTCGAGGATATTTATATATAATTAATTATTAGAAAAAATTTTTAAATAAAAATTATGTTATCAAGAATTTTTCAAATTTTTCAATTTAACAACATTAAAAATAAAACTTTTTTGGTTCAGTAATGAAAAACGAAAAAAAAAAAATAACCTTTCAATATTTTTATAAAATGACTAAATTCAGTTTGATTTAAGCAAATAATAAATTTGAAAATTAAATATTGTCAATTTTTTTTACAATTCTATCGTTTTATTTTTATTTATAAATTTTGATAAATGTTTTTTGTTTTTTTGCAAATATTATATTTGTCTGATATTAGCTGGAAATTTTAATGAAAACATAAAGCTCTTTTAAATATTTTAATCATTTTTTGAAAATAGAAATAGTATTAGATTCATGACCTGAAATTAAAACTTAATTTTGCTCATATGAGAAGACACTAGAAATTTTTTATAATCCCGAGATTTCCCAGTGGGAAATTTTAATTAATATCTTGATACATAAATATTTTGAATGAACGATGATAAAATTATTCAACATTTTTTTAAAATAACATTATTACTGATATTAAATTCGAATGGCGTTGTTAGATCAATGCATTTCGCTTTATCAAATTCCTTATCACTAACAATTGATAAAAATCTTTTCTTAACTTTCTGATGACAAAATTTATTTTTTCTGATAAAATATTTTTTTTGAATTAAAAAAGATTTAAAAAAAAAAAACCTTCCAAATTTTAATTTAATCTTATGTGTTATATTTTAAAAAAAAGTTATATTAAAAAAAAAAAGTTTAAAAAGTTAAATTGGATGTGCTATATTAGCTAATGCTAATATTGTTTTTTAGATAGAAACAATGATAACTGATAAATTTTCAGTTTAAAAAAATAAAAAAGCTATGAAATTCAGATATTTCATGGAAGAGATTCAAATATCGATTACTGATCAATTCAAACATATCGATTACCGATCAATTCAAATATATCGATTACTAACCGGTTCAAATATATCGATTGCTGACCGGTTCAAATATATCGATTACTGATCAATTCAAATATATCGATTACTGACTGACCGGTTCAAATACATGGATCACTGATCAATTCAAATATATCGATTACCGATCAATTCAAATATATCGATTACCGATCAATTCAAATATATCGATTACTAACCGGTTCAAATATATCGATTGCTGACCGGTTCAAATATATCGATTACTGATCAATTCAAATATATCGATTGCTGACCGGTTCAAATATATCGATTACTGATCAATTCAAATATATCGATTACTGACTGACCGGTTCAAATATATCGATCACTGATCAATTCAAATATATCGATTACCGATCAATTCAAATATATCGATTACTAACCGGTTCAAATATATCGATTGCTGACCGGTTCAAATATGTCGATTACTGATCAATTCAAATATATCGATTACTGACTGACCGGTTCAAATACATGGATCACTGATCAATTCAAATATATCGATTACCGATCAATTCAAATATATCGATTACCGATCAATTCAAATATATCGATTACTAACCGGTTCAAATATATCGATTGCTGACCGGTTCAAATATATCGATTACTGATCAATTCAAATATATCGATTGCTGACCGGTTCAAATATATCGATTACTGATCAATTCAAATATATCGATTACTGACTGACCGGTTCAAATATATCGATTGCTGACCGGTTCAAATATATCGATTGCTGACCGGTTCAGATATATCGACTGCTGACCAGTTCAAATATATCGATTACTGATCAGTTCAAATATATCGATTACTGACTGACCGGTTCAAATATATCGATTACTGATCAATTCAAATATATCGATTACTGACTGACCGGTTCAAATATATCGATTACTGACTGACCGGTTCAAATATATCGATTACTGATCAATTCAAATATATCGATTACTGACTGACCGGTTCAAATACATCGATCACTGATCAATTCAAATATATCGATTACCGATCAATTCAAATATATCGATTACTAACCGGTTCAAATATATCGATTGCTGACCGGTTTAAATATATCGATTACTGATCAATTCAAATATATCGATTGCTGACCGGTTCAAATATATCGATTACTGATCAATTCAAATATATCGATTACTGACTGACCGGTTCAAATATATCGATTACTGATCAATCCAAATATATCGATTACTGACTGACCGGTTCAAGTATATCCATTACTGATCAATTTTTTTCATTTGCCAATCATTTCACTGTTATCTTGGTGAGTTCATTTTGCTCAATTAGATAATAAAAGTTTAAATTAAATTCGTAATTAATTATTCGTAGTAAAAGTTTAAATTAAATTATTAATTTTGATAATAAATTTTTTACTATATCAATCTTTTCTCTGTTTTATCTTCTTTTTAAGCATATCAACAGTAATAGTTGTGTTCGATCATCACTTTGTGAAATCTTTGAGACTTTTCGGATCGTACTTTTCGGCATATTCAGAATTCATCAGTATAGGTCAGCATCAATATCATCTTAGCATTATTTTCAACTTTATATCATAACTTTTTATAATTTTAGTATAGTCAATTTAAACTGCGACAATTGCGCTTGCAACATAAAATGGAAAAAATTGTCGACAAAATTGAATTATAATTTTCAGAAATAAAATTCTATTAAATTCATTGAATTAAGGAATTTATTTTTTGATTATTCCTTGTGACAAATGTACCAATGTCACAATGTCACCAAATAAGACTTCTTTGCTAACTGTAAATTATATTGAAATTTGATAAGGTCAACAGCAAATTTCGTTAGTTGACCTCTGCTACTGTGCTATATTTTTTTGTTTCTTATAAGTTAATAACTTACTTTATAAGGAGTTATAACTTAATTAAAATTAAATTTTTTCTGAACAGCAATCTGACATTCATTGCTCTTTCATTATTTTTTTGAATTTTCTCATATTGTTCAATAATTATGGTTAACGATAACTTTTATCATAGTAAAATAAACATTGATGTCAAATGTCAAATGTCAAATGTCAAATGTCATCTCTACAATGCAATAACTATTCAACTCTATAATCTATGTAAAATCAAATCTTATTTTATGACAAAAATTGTTTTAATTCAATCATTCTGCCACTTTTTTTTTCTCCTTCTTTCTTGCTTTCACATCTTATTTTTCTTAATGTACAAATGTTAGTTTAAAAAATTTTTTTATCACTTTTTTTTTAAAAAAAAAAAAAATTTTTTATATTTTTAATTTTTCTAAAGTTTTATTTGTTTTTCATTTTTTTTTTTGATTTTTTTCTTTTTTCTAAGATTTTTAAGCTTAAAGTTTTACTATTAAAAGTAATACAATTCATTCTCTCTCATTTTTTGAAAATTTAAAAAATAAAATAAAAAAAAAAGAGAAGAAAATCAAAATAAAAAGTTTTTTTTTCGTTTAAGTTTAAATTATTCCTTCAAAGTTTTTTTAAAAATTCGCTAAAAAATTTGTCACATAAATTGTTTACCTTCTGTGTTAGGGGGCATAGCTCAGGGGTAGAGCGCTCCGTTCGCATCGGAGAGGTCTGGGGTTCGATTCCCCATGCCTCCAAACTCTCAATTTTCCATTTCTAAAACATATTGCAAATAAACAACTAACTAATCCATCTATCAGTTGTTTTAATGATTATTTGCTTAGAGTTTCAAAATTATCGCTGAACTCTTTTAACTTTCAAATTTCTAAATTTTTTCGCTCTTTTTTTTAACAATTTTAAAACTTTTAAATTAAAACTTAAAAAGTAAACTTACCTTATCCAATCGATATTTTTTGCATCTGTAATATTCGTTCACATTTACTTTTTCATTGTTTGTTAATAATGAAACGAATGCATAGAATGGCAATAAATTGATCATTTGCGAATGGAATTGAATTTTTATCCATTTTTTAGTAGTTTTTATAGGATAATTATAATGTATGATTTTATAATATACAAAAAAAGAAAAATATAAGAACAAATTTTTCAGGTAGAATACGAGATATAGTTAATATTTCTCGGGTAGAATACGAGGTGCTGTTAATATTTCCCGGGTAGAATGCAAGATGTAGTTAATATTTCTCGGGTAGAATGCAAGATATAGTTAATGTTTCTCGGGTAGAATGCAAGATGTAGTTAATATTTCTCGGGTAGAATGCAAGATATAGGTAATATTTCTCGGGTAGAATGCAAGATATAGTTAATGTTTCTCGGGTAGAATGCAAGATGTAGTTAATATTTCTCGGGTAGAATGCAAGATGTAATTAATATTTCTCGGGTAGAATGCAAGATGTAATTAATATTTCTCGGGTAGAATGCAAGATGTAATTAATATTTCTCGGGTAGAATGCAAGATGTAGTTAATATTTCTCAGGTAGAATACGAGGGTAGTTAATATTTCTCGGCTAGAATGCAAGATATAGTTAATATTTCTCGGGTAGAATGCAAGATGTAGTTAATATTTCTCAGGTAGAATACGAAGGTAGTTAATATTTCTCGAGTAGAATACGAGGTGCTGTTAATATTTCTCGGGTAGAATACGAGGGCAGTTAATATTTCTCGGCTAGAATGCAAGATATAGTTAATATTTCTCGGGTAGAATACAAGATGTAGTTAATATTTCTCGAATAGAATGCAAGATGTAGCTAATATTTCTCGGGTAAAAGTACAGACGGGACGCGAATGATTGCATGGTGACCAAATTCTTACCACCCACGCATTGTTGATAAGATTTGCTTTGGTCTGCGACGTGGCAGTGACATTTTAAGTTTGATCATTTTGGTGAGTTACTAAATTGATGAATCAGTTGCGAATGTTTTCAGGAATGGATTCCGGTGGAATTGTAGATGAACTGATCGATCCGGATGCTCTGGCCGTACGTTGATTGCCTTATTTTTTTTTTATCGAATTCAGAATTCAAATATTATTCTCTCATGGAATGAGCATACCTTTTTATTTATATAATATATATTATTTTTTCAATGTCACATCTGATAATAACAAACAGATATTTATTTATATTTTATTATCTTTATTAAGCATCATTTCCTCTAGTAATGATTACACATCTACCTTGTCACATTCAGAATCTTACTAAATCACAATTTGCGTCATTTTAATATAAAATTTTTTTTATTCCAATAACACCGTAATTGCCATAGTTGTTAATTAATATTTTATTCTACTTTAATAATGACAAATTATTTTGTGCTTAATTATTAAAGCAAATATTTTGTGCTTGTTGTGATATAGTTGCTTGATCGCAGTCTGTTCTATGCATTCATTGCGGATTGCTTGTTGTTTTCGTATTTTCGTTATTAGAGGCTTTGAGGAGATTTGAATAATTAGAAATATACATTTTATGTTAGTACTATCGTTTTAGTTAACCTAAACCTATTGAACAAATGACTACATTGAGATTTGTTTAAAAGTAATGAAAAACTGAAATTTTTAAAAAAATAGAGATATTCATTGATTGTAGTTTATTTCTGTTTCAGAGCTTGGAAAGAACATATAATGAGCAAGTTGCTCGTGGTAATCCAAGTGCTGTTGCAGTCTATTCTTATGCTCATGGCTTGATCAAATCCAACAATCGTAATGTACGTATGGGAATCAAATTGTTGGAAGGTTATTGAATTATTGGTTTTGCTTTTGTTGTTTTTTCTTTTGTTTTATTATCCGTTTTGTGTGGAAAAACTAACTGAGCTAAATATCATATCTAAATGCATTAGCGGTAATAGGTTAAGATAGATTTTTGTAGAAATGTATTGATCTATATTTTAAAGAACTATTTTCGAGTGTAAGTATATTTGGAAATTTCACATCATTAAACTAGATATATTTTAGTAGCAACAAAAACTATTGCCGTGATATTTGAGTCTTACATATGTATTCCAATCAACGACATTTAATTGCATATTTATTTGCAGCGATTTTTTTATCTTCCCAAAATAATATTTTTCTTACCAAATTTTTATACGTTTTAGATTTATTGCGGAAAGAAGTTGAGGATATATCGAAGCGTGATTATGTATATTATCTTGCAATAGCGCATACGCGCTTAAAGGTAAAGCTTTCTGCTACATGGGCTTCTTTAAAATGGGAATTTCATTGTGAAAAGTTTGAAATTGCAGGAGTACGATCGAGCTCTTGCATATGTTGATATATTACTCAGTGCAGAATCGAATAATCGTCAAGCATTGGATTTGAAAGATCTAATTCAGCATAGAATGAAAAAAGGTATGCAAACATTAGCTTTTTTTTGGAATCTGAGTTTATTGATTTTGGAATATCGCTTGATAAAGTTTATTGATTTTGGAATACCGCTTGACCTACTTTAATCTAAATCTAAAGTTCATTTAGATGGGATTATTGGCATGGCAATATTGGGTGGAGGAATTGCTGTAATTGGTGGTTTAGCTATTGCTGCATTTGCTGCCTCGAAAAGGTGATTTATGTGCTTAAGACTACTTTTTTTTCCAAAAAAAAGTACGAATATGGTGAGAGAGAATTGGAGATCGAAGAATGGAGTTACTTTGTTCAGATGTTTCATCCAGAAGTTAAATTTCAAAGTTTAAGCGGTTTTCAGAAGTTCTCATTCGTAAACGGTGGTGTATTATGAGTAATCACTTGGATTATTTATCGATCGCATTATTTTCTTTCCAATTATTTATAAAATTTTTTGTTCATAATTTTATCAAGTAAGAGGTATCTATTCTGGAATATCTTTGAATTTGTATGCTTAAGGTTGAATAAGATTCTTCTCTTAGAAGTAAATTTTTAGGCTAAAAAATAAAATTAAACAAATTTTATTTCGTTGCATATTTATGTACTTTTACGTTATAATGTTAAAACTGGTCGATAGCCAAGTTCCTTTTCCTTATATTAGAACAGGTGTATGTCTAACAGTTTCCTATACTTTGTTGTTTACCATTCAGTAATTTCTTTATCCATTCATTCACATGTTTTAACTTAACACTTATCTGAATTGTTGAATATTTCCAAAATTCGTAAATGCGGGAAAGATGGGTAATTGTAATAAAACTGACTTTAATGAAGTTTCAGCTTATTTAAATAAAATGTAATGTAAATAATGATGTGTTAACAGACTATTTAGTGTTTTTACTTACAGCAAACTTAATATTCAGGCATTTACAGTCGTTAAATGCTGTGGTTTTATTTATTTATTTTTTTCTTTTGCTTATTTATGTTTGCTACAATGAATAGCATACTTTCTGTAACTAATTCTCTCAAGTAATACAGCTTACAGATAAATGAATACTTTGATATGTCATCTGTCATTCGTTACAATTGGAATATAAAATTGACCGAATAATTTCTGGTACACTGATCAGATGAAATTTTGTGGGATTCGTGGAAGTGGAGTATTTCATAAGCAAAAATGAAATACTAAACAAACAGTAGTGATTCGATGAAATTTAGTTAGTAGGAAGATAAGCTGTTAATCAAGTATAAAGCATTAGGAAGTACTTAATGGTATACTGTATCAGATAATGAACAATTTAAAATTTTTATAATTATTTATGCAGTTTCATTAATTTGCTAATTAATCTAACATAGGGAAAATGACTGTTGAAAAAGAAACTTAAGAAATTTCAGATTGCATCCATTAAATGAACTTAGTAGCAATTTTAAACTTTTGAATTATTATTATCTAAGACTAAGACAGTGATAGCAATGAAAAATGGTTACTAAGTAATGATGGAAGTATACATAAGGTATCATTATGGAATGCTAAAGTGTGATACGGAGAAAGATTTAATTTGAATTTCAGGTATATAATAGTTTTCAGGAAGATTTCAGGTATCTTCAATCACAAATGCTTTCCGGATATGCATCTCGAATTGATAAACGTTATGGAAAGAAAAGGTTCGGTTCGCATTATTATAATCAAATCTTTCCTCATCACTTATTTTACTCAAAAAATTTATAAATTTTTTAGTTGCCAAATGTATTAGTTTACTGTTTTTAGAAGGAAGAGAAATAAAAATGACAAATCTTAAGAAATGAATTGTGTCCTTCTTTTTTTTTTTTTATTTTTTTATAAATTTTTTTTTGTATAATAAATATTAATGCATTTTTTCATAATGCTTAGAAGGTTTTCTATAATGTTTGGATGAATGATTCTTTTTTTTTTTTTCTTTATTGTTCTGATTAGATCAGTTAATTGTTAATGTGCTAATAAGGGAGGAACTTATTAAAATCGTTTTATTTTTCAAATTTTATTTTAAATTGTTAATTGATTCTTAGTTTATTTTCACAAATATGCTACACTGCAATATTCAGTAGTAGATCATCGATGTTTTCCGTGGTAATCATTGCTACTTCTGTCCATTTTCATCCTGAAGAGTGAAATTAGGATTCGAGAATGTGATTGGTGATGTTGAATTGATCGTCGATGCTACTGTTGCTACTACTGCTGCTGCTGTTGTTGTTGGTATGTTATTTGGATCAGTTGGTGAAGTTATAGTAATACCAGCACTGGGACCATTATTCTACAAATAAAATAATTTTAACTTTAAAATCAATTTCTATGCAAAAGTTTTTTTTTTTTAATCTAACAAAGATTTTCTCTACTCTTGCTTTTATTATCTCTTATGTTCCAAGTTTTTTTTTTTATTTCAGGTTGCTTATTTCAGGTTGGTGTTTTTTTTTACTTATTTCAGGTTGGTGTCTGTTGCACTAACTTGATACAAGTAGCAATTGCAGCTCATGATGTTTTGACATAAGCTATAGAGAAATCAATCAAACAAGTTTGTTTTGCAGTTTATTAATTGAGATAAAATGTTCTACTACATTCCAAAGTACTTTTTTCTTTTTGCAAACAAATCTATTTTATCAATGAATTTAAGTTTTTAAACTATATGGTGAAAACTTTTTGATATGTTATCTTTTTTTTCATTTATAATTTACCTGGATAGAAACTATAGGAAAATTTAATTCAGCTTTCTTTCGATCACTAAAATACACATAGCAAGCGAATAATACACGAATCACCCATATTAACATTAGTGTAAAAGTAAGTGGAGATATAGCATAAATGAAAGCATTTAATTGAATAGCTAAAAAAAAAAAAATAATAATGCAAAATAATAAATTATTGGCGTGGGAAGAAAAAAAAAATTTGTTTTTTTTAAATATTTTTGTTTGAAATATTTTTTTTTTCCTTGTTTATGATAGTATTTAAGTGTTATATATCAATTTTTTGATATTTGATACTTCTTTATTATCTAAAATTCATCGATTATTTTGCTTAAATATCAAATGTTTAATATTTGTTTCAATGTAGAATTTATTATTTTTTTTTCTTTATTGAATGAATGGAGAGGATTTATTAGCTTTGATAAAAAAATTTTTTCATAGTGTTAAAGTTTATCTGATTACATTATTCATTCTTGATTATTTGTCATACTTAACTGTTTAACTTTATTCTTGATTATGTGTTAAAGCTTATCATACTCTAATTACATTATTCATTCTTGAATTATTTGTCATACTTAACTGTTTAACTTTATTCTTGATTATGCGTTAAAGCTTATCATACTCTGATTACATTATTCATTCTTGATTATTTATCATACTTAACTGTTTAACTTTATTCTTGATTATGCGTTAAAGCTTATCATACTCTAATTACATTATTCATTCTTGATTATTTGTCATACTTAACTGTTTAACTTTATTCTTGATTATGCGTTAAAGCTTATCATACTCTGATTACATTATTCATTCTTGATTATTTATCATACTTAACTGTTTAACTTTATTCTTTGCAGCTAATTAAACATTTATTTTTTGACTACAGTTACTTCAAGTAATTAAATTCTGCCTTTATTGAGTGGAAGATGGAGTGGAAGTCTTTGATTTTAGATTAGCAGTTTAGAAGTAATAGTTTGAAATAGTATTAAAGTTTTTAAATTCATCTAAATGAAAATATTTTAATAATTATAAACAAATTACTGTTCTACTACTGGTATATCTAAAATCATGAATCTTACAGGATGTTTTTGTCGATGGATAAGTATGAAAGCTGGGTGCCCAAGAATTTTTTGGCCATATTATAGTCAAAATGCTTACGCAGAATAAAATCATCGAAGCAACCAGAGTAAATAGCTGAAAATGGAATATATTTATCGAAATTTGGAAATATTTTGCGAATATATTGAAGTTTTAAATGTATGCTTTACAATAAGTAAATGCCATAAGTTGCAAAAAGAAAGAATATTAAATTATTATCAAATTGCTGAAAATGGAATATATTTATCGAAATTTGGAAGTATTTTGCGAATATATTGAAATTTTAAATGTATGCTTTACAATAAGTAAAAGAATATTAAAGAATATGCAAAAGAAAGAATATTAAATTATTATCAAATTGCTGAAAATGATTTCTTCTTACTTTGATCATAAAAATTTGATCAAATTAAAATGATTTAAGAAATTAAAATTAGAATGTAAACCTGAAGGAAAAGATATGGTAGTAAGAAAGACGCTGATTTGAAACAATAAGCAATAATTAAAGAAATTCCAAATAAGGCATTGCAAATTTCTGCGAAAATTTCTATCCATCCTTTAATGATTATTATTTGAATTTGGAATGATTATTTTAGGTCATCAAAAATTAAATCAATAAAATTAGATCAAAAAAAAAAAAATATATCGAAAACAATAGGAATGACAATATTAATAAAACTTTTTTTTTAAATAAAGCAATTTATATATTGATAAAATAATAATAATAGTAATAATAAAATTAGAAACTAAGGAAATATGATAATTTATAGTTTTAAAAATTTTTTTTTATATAATAATTTTTGTTGTTAACAATAAATTATTATAATTTATTTAGCAACGACAATAATTATTGTGCAAAAACAAGAGAAAAAAAAAAAAAGGAAGTAAAAAATAACCGAAAGTAATTCCTCGATTGACAATGAAATCGATCCATCGAAATATATCCCAGGCAAATGTTACAATTATAATAAGTTGTAAGGCAGTCTGTAATAAATAATTATTTATTTTAAAAAAAAATTTTTTGACATTTGACATATGGTTGAATTTATTTGAAATGTAATTAATTGCATACCTGAACATGTACTCTTCCAAAACAGGTGTAATATTGTGGTGTTGTATGATTTCGTGGTGGTAAATTTGATTTTAAACAATTGAGTAGCAGCATATTATTTACCAGCAGAATTACTTTAGTGTTTTAAAAGTTGAAAAAAAAAATTTATCTCTAATTATGCTGATTTTTATGTTTGAAAAAAAATGGAATGCTTCGATATTATTAGCATTTTAATATCTGAAAAAATTTGAAAAATTTTACATTTATAAATATGCATATGATTAAATCATATATTTTTGCTAGAGATATTTTAAATATTTAAAATTTTTTAATTATGGGTAAAACTTAAAAAATTGATTAATAGTTAGGAAGATACAGAATAATGAAAGAAAATAATAAAAAAAAAAAAAGACTAAAAAGTTTTGTATTCAATTAATTTAAGCTAACAATTTTCAAAAAATAAATTTAAAAATCTATCTGCTTTCCCTTTATCAATTGTTTTTTTTTTTGATTTATTATGGTAAGATTTATTATGATTATGTTATGATAAAATATTATATAAATATAAATTTCTCCTTATATACTTAATTTTTTAAATAAATACTAAAATTTAACTCTTTCTAATTTCAAATTTATATTTTCATTTTGCAAAAAATATATATATAAAATATATAAATATTAACTTCACATTCATATACTTAATTTGTTGAATATTACTAAAGTTTATTATGATTAATTTCAAATTTATACTTTCATTTTTAAACAATTTAATCTAAATTTTAAATAAATTCAATTTTTTTTTTTAAACAATTTAATTTTTTTCAAATGAAAATGAAATATATTTATTATATATTAGTATAATTAATATTATTTTGCATATTATTTCTATTAGTATAATATTGTTATAATATTTATAAAAATTCCCTTTTTATCTTTTTTATTCTTTAGCTGAATGTGATGATAAATACTTTTGTTTATTAATAATAAATGAAAAGTAAACGAAGCAAAAAAGGATTGAAAATAAATTATTTTTAAACAATTTAATTTTTTTCAAATGAAAATGAAATATATTTATTATATATATTTATTATATTTTTTTTTACTCTCTTTTCTTTTCTTTAAATAAATAAATTTATTTTTTATCAAACAAAAAAAAAAGAAAAAAAAGAGATTAGCATAAAAATTTATGTTTTATAGACAATGTCACATTATTTCTTTAATTAAATTTAACATTTTCTTTTATATTTTTATTTTTTTTTTTTTGTTAATATCATTTATACTAATACTTTACATTTCTTATTTGTTCAACAAAAATGTTATGATAAAATAATATATAAATATAAATTTCTCCTTATATACTTAATTTTTTAAATAAGTACTAAAATTTAACTCTTTCTAATTTCAAATTTATATTTTCATTTTGAACAAAAAAAAATATATAAAAAGTATATAAACATCAACTTCACCTTCATATACTTTAATTTATTGAATATTACTAAAGTTTAAAAATAAAAAATAAAAAATTTTTTTTTTTTTTTAATGATACTTTTAATTTCTTTTAATATTATTTGATGATATATGGAAGATTTATTAAAATAATATTTACTGTATAATTTTCAACTGTTAATAATCTATGTTAAGTAAATAAGTAAGTAAAATTACTTTATTACAATTTTTTTTTTTAACTAAATTTATTGAAATTATTTTATTAATCAATCATAATTCGATCATTTCACATAAAGTATTAAAAAAAAATAATATTTTACAAAGAAAACTATGAGAAATATCTAATAAAAACAATATTTATTAGTAATCCATGCAAAAAGTCTTATTCAATTCTAAATTAAAAAAAATAAAATTTGAAATTTAATTAATTTAATTTAGGTTTTAATTAGTATTGTTAATAGTAGATAGTATCACTATATTAGCTTAGTAAGTATGTTATTAATAATTAAATAATCAATAATGAATTATTTAAATTAAATAATTGAACAAATAAAAGTTTAACAAATGAAAAAAGCGAAAATTTTTAATTTTAACATTTGAACAATGAAAATTGAAATTTAATTTAATTTAATACATTTAATTTAATAAAATGCAATGAAATTTTCTTGTTTTTATTATTTACACTCTCATAATTTTTCAAAAATTTTGTTTTTCAACATTATTTTCTTATAATTTCCACAACTATTTGTACATTTTAGTAATTCATAAAGCTAAAATTTTGTTAATTTCATTTGATTTCAATTTCAATTTTGTTAATTTCATTAAAAATAAAAATTAAAAAATTAAAATGAAAATTAAAAAGCTACAAATGTCATCATTCATTAGTGATCAATTAAAAATGATAAAATGGCCAATATGGCTAATAATTGATAATAGTTTCATTTGATTTCAATTTCAATTTTGTTAATTTCATTTCATTAAAAATAAAATTTAAAAAATTAAAATGAAAATTAAAATGTCACAAATGTCATCATCCATTATTGATCAATTGAAATGATAAAATGGCCAATATGGCTAATAATTGATAATAGTTTCATTTGATTTCAATTTCAATTTTGTTAATTTCATTTCATTAAAAATAAAATTTAAAAAATTAAAATGAAAATTAAAATGTCACAAATGTCATCATCCATTACTGATCAATTAAAAATGATAAAATGACCAATATGGCTAATAATTGATAAATAATTGATAATCACTTTAGATCAGTTTACTTTCTATTTTAAATTAATCTCAAATGATAATTTCTTAAAATTAGCAAAAGAGGAAAATTTATAAATTTTAAAATAGAAAAATAAAATAAAAAATTTTTTATTGATAAAGTTAAGACAACAGCTACTGTGTTTGTTTGCTAGAAATTGTTTGTTAGCTAAATGTTTTTTTTTTTTTTTTTTTCTTTTTTTTTTTAACTCTTTCAAAATGCTTCTTTTCTCATACATCTGCAAAAGTTAAAGATATGATTCATAAATTTAATTACAACATTTTAAACTTAGAAACTGAGACGAAAAAAAAAATTGAAAAATAAATAAACAAAATTTTTGATTTTCATTTAAATTTAATAGTTGTAATAAAAATTGAAAGTAAAAGTTAATTCAAATTAATCTTAAAATGATAACATTAAATAGCAAAGATAATTTAAAAGGATAGAATTATGATTAAATAAATTAAAATTTAAGTTTTTTTAAAAAAAAAAGTAAAGTAAAGATGATAAAAATGAGAAATGAAGAAAAATAAAATTTTCATTTTGATTTAAATTTAATAGTTATGATAGAAAATGAGAGTAAATTTAATAGTTGCGATAAAAATTGAAAGTAAAAGTTAATTCAAATTAATCTTAAAATGATAACAAAGATAATTTAAAAGGATAGAATTATGATTAAATAAATTAAAATTTAAATTTAAAGAAAAAAAAAAGTAAAGTAAAAATGATAAAAATGAGAAATGAAGAAATAGAGGAAATGAAATACTAAAGATTCAACCACTTCCAAAGATTTTATTAATAAAAATTAATTTTACAATGAATGTTTGCGTGCGCTATTTGCATATAAGTAATTTTAAGATTTCATTTAAAATTAATTTGCAAATTTTTTTCCTTTTTTTAATTTAGCTATTTTAATTTTTTAAGTATTTGTAAATGAGAAATAATGGATCGATTGAGATGGAATTGAAAAAATTTATGTTATATTTTTGTTTAATCTGTTTGCATGCATACATGCATGCATGTATGCATGCATGCATGCATGCATGCATACATGTATGCATCACAAAATTTTTTATAATTCAAATTGAAATTTAATGAAAAAAAGTAAAATCAGTGCAAAAAAAAAAACTAAATGTCATCCAAAATAATTATTTGAAAATTTTTGGGATGAAATTTAAATTTTTAAAATCTGTCATTTGAAAGGCCAAAGCTGACAGCAAAATGATGCATAAATTAAAAATTTTTCAAAGAGAAAGATCAAAAATCAAAATTTAAAATTGGAAATTTTTGAAATTAAAATTTGCAATTAAAAAAGTTTGTAAATTTGAGTATAATAAACATTATTATTATTATTATTATTATTATTATTATTATTATTATTATTATTATTATTATTATTATTATTATTATTATTATTATTATTATTATTATTATTATTATTATTATTACTATTATTATTATTATCATTATTATTATTATTATTACTATTATTATTATTATCATTATTATTATTATTATTATTATTATCATTATTATTATTATTATTATTATTATTATTATTGTTAACTTTACTTTACATATATGCATAATTTTTTTTTCTTCCAATTGAAATTAAAATTAATTTTAATTAGAAAATAATGATTAAAATTAAAAATTAATTTCAAAAAAAAAAAAAGTTCGAAGACAAATCAAAAATGGATTTTGTAGTAATGAATAAATGTTTGTGTTAAAAAGATAAGAAATGATAAGGTGATAACAAATAAACACGAATGATAGACCAAGCAAATTGTTAAAATCTGATCGATTGATAAATTTATTAAACTTTTAACATTGTTTACTTATGTTATTTCTATTTGTGGCTAAATTTAAAAAACGAAAAAACAATTTCACAAAATATTTAAAAATTTTTTTTTGTTAATAAAAAAGAAAAAAAAAGAATTTGATAGAATAAAAATTATAATAAAAGAATATTTGATTGAAATTTTTTTCAGCAATAATTTCATGCATTAACGAAAATAATTAATGTTTAAATTTTTATATTTATTAAATTTAATCAATGCAAATGCAAAAATGTGTAATAATGTAAATTATTATTGCATGACAGACTATATTTAAAATTTATTATAAATTTATCAATTTAATTTTGTGTAATTGATTAATTGATAAAAATATTTATTAAAAATTTGTGAAATTGTTTTTTTTTTCTCGTTTAAATTACTTTTACAAATTAAATTGTTATATTTTTAAATTAAATTATAAATTAGTTTTACAAATTAAGTTGTTATTTAAAATTTAAAATCAAAAAAAAAATGATTGGTTCTACAAATTAAATTATTATATAAAATTTGAAATTAAATTGTTATATAAAATTTGAAATTAAAAATAATTAGAAATTAAATTGTTATAT